GTCTGTATAAGTCTATCTCTGTAGGCCATGGTGGCAGAATTCCAACTGCCAGCATTCTCAAAATTTTGAGCACTTGAGAATTTCTTTTCCTTTTAATGTGAACTTCTGTATGTATTTTTATTATGACATTTTATTTGTCATTTCTATAGTTCTTGAATTATAACAACCCACTCTTGTGGAAAATCATCTACTCACTTAGAAAGACATTCATTCCTTTCAGGGGCCTGAGCTCCATGCCCCCCCCCCCCCCCCCGCCCCCAGCATCACATTGGAAATCAAAGATTCAGCGCAGGTTCTAGAGGAGAAGCAACATTGAAGTCATAGTTGATTCCCAGTGGGTGGAGTTACAGTGTTACCAGAGGAATGAGGGTGTGATGAGGGCTTCTGTGAGGTTGTTACCCGAGACTGAGATCCAGCATAGAACTTGGCATTTTATAAAAGTTGCTATAAATGTCAACCTCTCTTCTATTAACCCATAAAAATAGCTAGGGTTATGTTTCTGGGGGCTCTATAATTCTCTTTAATCACAGCAATGCGTGTTTCATGACACAATAGACAATTTAGCAGGATGTTAAGTATAGGATCCAACTTTTAGTAAAGTTCTTGACTGTTCAATTTGAGCTTTGGTCTCATTAACAGAAATTCTTACCGTCTAATGTCATTTCAGAGTGTACGGACAGAGGTTGGCCCTTCAGACTGGTTGCTGTGTTGGACCAGTTAACACTTAGGCATTATCCCGATTTTTGGGTGAAGATGTTGCCAGCTGGGCTCATGGCTAGCCCTGTGTATGGTCTTACCTTTCATTCCTTGGGTGTTACAATTTGGTTCCTTTGTTTCCTCCTGTAAACTTACTGATGACCTGAACCAAGTCAGAGTCACCTTGCAATCACCTATGCTTCCAAGCGCACAGAAAGTATGCTAATAATCTGTATACTTAACAGGAGCAAGTTTTTTTGTTTTTTTTTTCAAGACAGGGTTTCTCTGTGTAGCTTTGCGCCTTTCCTGGAACTCACTTGGTAGACCAGGCTGGCCTCAAACTCACAAAGATCCACCTGGCTCTGCCTCCCGAGTACTGGGATTAAAGGCATGCGCCACCACTGCCTGGCTAGGAGCAAGTTTTTAACCAGAGATATTAACTTGAACACAGTCTGGGGTATCATTCCACACCTATGAGATAGAAGACTCCAAATCAGTGCTCAGTAATAAGAGGGTCAAAGAATTGGCATGCAGTGCTGACCAGAGGTGGGCTCAACGTGCTGTCTAACTAGGCATACCAATTGCCAGAGTTCCCCTCTTGGGTAGGCAGCCCAAGGCATTAATCTTGGTTGTTGATTTGGCAACACCTGGAATCAACTAGAACCAAGTAGCAGGGCGCACCTGTGAAGGATTTTCTTAGCTGGATAATTTGAGATGGGAAGACCCACCCCAAATCTGGGATGCACCTTTTAGTGGCAGCCCACATAAAAGGACATGGGACAGGGACGCTTCTGCCTTATTCCTGCTTGCTTTCACTCTTTCTGGCAAGTTCATCTATCCAGCTGCTGAGGCATTCCTTGGCTGGTGTTGGAACCTACATCTTCAGGATTCCAACAAAGATCAAAGACCAGCTGGGAAACCCAGCCTGGTGAACTGAACTACCACAGGATTCTTGTCTTTTCCATTGGGAGACAGCCATACAGCCATTGTTGGACTAGCAGGACCACAGTCTGTAAGCCTCTCTAATAAATGCTCCTTTAACTCTCTCTCTCTCTCTCTCTCTCTCTCTCTCTCTCTCTCTCTCTCTCTCTCTCTCTCTCTCTCTGTTCTGTTCTCCTAGAGAACACTAACTAATACAACATCCTCACAAAACTTCTTAAGAGTGCAGGGACAAAGACAACCATTGCAGGGTAGTCATGATGAGGGGAGAGGATATTGGAGATTCTCTCAATGCTCATCCCTGGCAATGGGTGGGCAGAAGAGGCAATGCACAGCCCTGAGTTCTCTGTAGCTCCTAGAATCGGTAGGTCAGAGCACTCAGAATGTGGAAAGACTGTAAAAGCACAGCACTGGGTTTAAAAATGCAAGAAAGGAAGAGCCTTAGTACAATAACACTTATGTAAATTTTTTAAAACCCACATGCAGAACAATATACATATTGCAAGAAGAGACTCCAGCCAAAAGACAAACATTAAATATGTGAGAATGGATTTCCTGTGGAAGAGGGGAAGGACATAGACAAACACATTAATTAATAAACACTTAAGAAAGATGTCGCAAAAAGACTAACAATGATGTCAAGCCACAGAGTCCGGAGGATGGTTAGCTCTAGACACATGGTGCTGGAAAGATGAGGAGAAGAAAACCAGGTGTGATGGTGCACACCAGCGATCCCAGCACTTGGGAGACTAAGGCAGGAGGACCATGAGTTTGAGGCCAGTCTGGGACACACACACACACACACACACACACACACACACACACACACAGGGAGGGAGGAGAGATCCTGTCTCAACAACAACACAAAAAACAATAAAAAATAAACAGAAAAGGATGAGAAGACTGTCCAGTTCTCTCTCTCCTCTCTCTCTCTCTCTCTCTCTCTCTCTCTCTCTCTCTCTCTCTCTCTCTCTCTCTCTCTCTCACACACACACACACACACACACACATATGCAAAACCTTAAGTATTTTCTGGAGTCCTGTACTTCTTATTAATTAGTGTCATGTTCATGGTTACTTGGCTGCAGCAAGATGTAACAGAATGTGATTTGGGGACCAGATGAGTCTCAAATTCAAGCCATTTGATCTTGGGTGACAGATCATTTCAACTTCTGGGCCTCAGTTTCCTCATTTGTAAAGGACCAAGACCCCTGAGGGCCTTTACAGGAGCAAAATGAGAAATTACAAATTATTTGCAGGACTGTGGTGAGTGCAGATAGTCCACAAACATGATTGCCCTCTCCTTGATTATTCTGCTTGGGGTCTCGGTCGGCAACACATAGTGTTCAGTCAAGATTTCCTGAGTGGAAATTCGCTGATTTCCAGCAAAAACTGGAGCAAAAGGTGCTGGTGTTGGCTCTAGTTTTAAATTAAAAAAAAAAAAAAAGAACTTCCACACAGTGTTTTTAAAAGCACTCAGCGTTGTTTCTGAGTGCTGTGAAGTACTCTCCCTTGAATACCTTTAAGAAGGACTTGTCACCTTTGAGCACAGGCCTCTGTCGTCCCCTCCCAGCTGTTTTCCTGCCTTCTGTCTGGAGGACTCTGTGACTTCTCACTCACTTCCCCGCTCAGGGAGAAGTCCCCTTAGCGCTCACGTTGATTTCTCTCTGGCCTGCGTTCTCTGCTGTCTGTCAGAGAGACCATAGCTTACCTCGGCTTTGTGATTATCCCACTCCTGCTGCCAAGTGAAGAAACCCTGACATTGTCCCATGGACTGCGGTGATTTTCCGAGGTCCTTAGATTGATTGCATTCATCTTAGCAGCAGGTTATATGCACTATAAAATTATCCAGCTGTTTCCTAAAATCTCCCATTCAACCCGAGAGTCTTTAAAAGCTTTTGCATTGTGAACGTTTTCAATCTGGCAGATTTGGACAATGCAACTGCCTCACCACATTCCGGGCCTTGTTTTTCTCATCTGGGAAACGGGATTAATCTTTAGCATGGTATATTTAAACACCCCCGGGGGCGGTGGAGCAGGTAATGGTCTGAAGTAACTGGGTTTGTGTGTGTAGCCACACATGGACAGAAATGGCTTTCCCACCCTCTAGGGAAGGCTTCCTTTTTTGTTATTCCTGTACTTACCTCTGATAGAACCCAGTTATCCTGTTCTTAAAGTCATCCACCCCAGTCCGAGTCTGAGAGCATACATTACAGAAAATACACTGTTAGGGTTTGACTTGGTGCTCAGCTGGTGGCACTGCTTTGGAGATATTGTGGGAACTTCCGGAGACGGGGCCATGATGGAGGAAATGGGTCACTGGAGGCAGATCTCAGGGGTGATTCTCTAACTCTGATGTCCCATTTTCCCCAACCCTTGCCCCTCTTTCCTGATCCACCAAGATGATTAGCAAGCAGCTTCTTGCTGCTGTTGCTGCCAACAGCTGCTGTGAACGCTGCCTTGCCTTCCCTGACATGATGTGCTGGACCCTCTCAAGCTTGAGCCAGAACAAACTGGAATTTTATTTATTTATCCTTTAAGTTGCTTCTTTCATGTGTTTTTATCACAGTGACGAGAAAAGCGACGAATACACAGATCCTTTACTAAAAGGGTCTCAGTGTAGATGTTACAGCTTCATTTTTATGTGTGGGGAAGCCATCTCTTTTACTATCTGGTTCTTATTCTGATGCTTTGTAGACAGATGGGGTAGAGTGGGCTGTGCCGCAGGAACAAAAAAACCCGGTGCCTCAGTGGCTTTGCACTATAAAGTTTCCTCTTGTTTCTGCTACACGGCCCTTGAAGTCTGTGGCAGATGTGCACTGGCTGTGGTCGATCAGAGATGCAGCTGATATAAACCCTGTTACAACATCTGCTTCCCAGCTCCGCACAGGTGTGCAGAGGGAATGCGGAGAGGACTTCACTGGCTCCTAACACTCCTGCCAGGAAGAGCTCAACACGCTGCTTGTAAATCTGCCTTCTCTGGCTTACCATTCCCTAACTCATAACACTCAATTCAGCAAAGAGAAAAGTGTCCCCTTGAACAGTTCCCACATAAACAAGGGTTTCCAGCTCCCTGGACACTTTGAGGTGATGGCTGTGAGTTGGGGACTGAAATGCATTACTGGCTTAGTGTAAGTCCTGGAAGTAGAGTCTGGAAGCAGAGTTGTTTCTACACAATAAGGTGTGGACTGTCTGTTAAGTTTGATTTCAATATGTCATATATATATACATGCATATACACGTATGATATTATATGTAATATATATATATATATATATATATATATATATATATATATATATATATATAGAGAGAGAGAGAGAGAGAGAGAGAGAGAGAGAGAGAGAGAGAGAGAGACTATTGCTCAGTCATAAAGAATTAGATGTGGAAGCTGAAAAACACAATGAATGAAAGAGAAAGAAGAAGGAAGAAAGTTGACTTAGAGGCAAAAAAGGGATTACTAGGGACTAGGAAAGGTTCCAGGATGTGATGTGATGTGATGTGTGTGTGTGTGTGTGTGTGTGTGTGTGTGTGTGTGTGTGTGTGTATGGTGTGTGTATGGTGTGTGTGGTATGTGTGTGTGTATGGTGTATGTGGTATGTATATGTGTGTATGATGTGTGTGTGTGGTGTGTAGTGTGTGTGTACTGAGTGTTGTTTAGATGAAGAGTGGATGGACACAGCCCCCGCACAATGTATGTCCGTATGGAAGTCTCACTGGGAATCCCATTTGTCAGTACAATTAAGAATGTCTGCAAGGAGGTGGTTCATTTTGATCTCCAAGTTGACAGCATGTCGAGTCACCTGGAGACCAAGCTCTGGGTGTTCCTTTGAAGGCTTTCCTAGAACCAGTTAACTGAGGTAGGAAGGCCCACCAGGAACGTGGGCAGCACCATCTCCTAGTCTGGGGTCCCAGACTGACTTGGGAAGAGAAAGCAGGCTGGGTACAACTTGATCTCTCTCTGCTTCCTGACAGCAGATGCAGTGCGGCCAGCCGTCCCACACTCCTGCCATGGCGCCTTCCCCGCCATGATGGACTCTAACCTCCCACCCTGAGCCAACAGAAACCCTTCCTTCCTTAAGTGGCTTCTACCCCTGGATATTTTGTCACAGCAGTGAGAAAAGTATCTAATAAAATAGCAATAATACGAAATTTTAATTTTTTGAAGAGAAAATAACGTTGAATTTTATATAAGAAATACCTTTTTAGTGTAAGACAATTTTTTATGTTATATATAACACTAAAAAACTATTGCTTATCTGAAATTCAAATTTAACTGGGTGTCCTATAATTTTATTTGAAAAAAATGGCAACTCCTAATAGGAATTTATTGGCAAACCACACAAAGGGAAAAGTTGTTTTTTCCAAGCTGGGATGCTGTACAGGTGAGGTTTTTTTTTTTTCTTTTTTGTATTTTTTTTTGTCAAGTTGACACAGCTAGAGTCAAATTGGAAGAGGATTCTCGATGGAGAAAAGACCTCTATCAGATTGCCTGTCTGTGGAGTCTTTTCTTGTTTAGGGGTCAATATGAGAGGGTCCAGCTCACTGTGGGCATGTTACCCCTGGGCCAGTGGTCCCGGCTTGTACAAGAAAGCTGAGCAAGCCACAAGGAGCAAGCCATAAGCACTATTTGTCCATGGTCTCTCTTCAGCTCCAGCCTCCAGGTTCCTGCCTTGAGTCCTTACCTTGACTTCCCTCTGTGATGGGCATGTAAGCCAAACGCACCCTTTCCTCCCTAAGCTGGTTTGGTCATAACACTTATCACTGCAATAGAAAGCAAACTAGAAAAGATACTGTATTCAGAGATGGAGGAGCCATCTCTGAGTGGCACAGACCACAGTTGTCCAGACTGGGGATGGAAGACATGATATTCCTCCCAGGTGTGACAGAGCCCTGGAAATAATAGTTGGTAATGACACAGTAGTGTTCTGGTTATCCAACACCAAGCCACCTCAAAACTCCGCTAAATAAACCAATAATTTATTATCTCTCACGCCTCCATGGAGTTCATGAGCTCATCTGGGCAATTAATTTTTGCTTAGTCTCTCTCCTACCACTGCAGGTAGATGTTAACTGGGGTTGTGAACACCTGAGCTCTCCAATATGGGCCCTGTCTTCCATATTCATGGGAGTTTTACACCCCTTACTTATTTTTCTTTTGTTTGTGTGTGTCAGCAGAGAGAGAGAGAGAGAGAGAGAGAGAGAGAGAGAGAGAGAGAGAGAGAGAGAGAGTGTAAGTGAGCATGCACATGTGTGCATATGGAGGCCAGAGGTCTTTTCAGGAGTCATCCACCTTGTTTATAGAAGCAGGGTCTCTATCTGGTCTGTTGCTCACCAAGTAGTCTTCTGACTGGCCAGGGATCTACATGTCTTTACTTCCCAGCACTGGACTTAGAAGCCTTCACTGATGTGAGTAACTTTCCATCCTCTACTTGCTATATTGTATTGCCTGTGTTCCCTCTATAATCATTTAAGATTAAAAATAAAGAACTATCCAGAGGAGTGTAATTTAAGGTCAATTATAATGCTGATGGTCTGGTCATTATTCCATGGTATTGGTCCCTCTCTCCCCTCCTGATGGCCTTTGTGTACTTCCTTGCTCCATCAGTACGAGCCTTGACCATGTGTCAATGCTTTGCTTAAAGGATGGTGGTTGATCAAGATCAATGATCTATAACATGTCTGTGTAGCAGATTTCTCTGGAGTCTCTGAAGATGCCACAAGAAAAGCACATTCCAGGTAACTAGCTGGTTCAAAGTGATGAGGCATTGGGAGTAACCTGAGTCCATCTGAGCCCATCCCAAGCTTAGCCTGTCACACCAGTGGCTCTCAGCCAAGAGTGATTGTTTTTCTCCCTGTTAGGGAATGTGTGGCAGTGTCCATAGACATTTTTGGTTGCTCTTATAGGCACAGGCACTCGGTGTGTAGAAGTCAGGGATGCTATTAAATACCCTCCACTGTGCAGGACAGTCCCCACAACGAATACTTATCTATCTTCAGATATCAGTAGTAGGAGTGGGGAGATGGTTCCATCATTAAGGTACTTACCATGCCAGCACAAGGAGCCGAGTTCAATTCCCAGCATCTGCATAAAAAAAGCTGGGTATGGTGGTGCATGCATGTAATCCAAGCTTTGGGGAGGTGAAAACAAGCAGATCCCTGGAGCTCATTGGCCAGACAGTCTTGCCTACTTGGTGAGTTCCAGGCCAGTGAGAGACTCCACATCAAAGAATAACAAAGATGGATGCTGGCTGAAGAACACCACCCAATATCATCCTCCACATTCATGAACACTCCTGTGTACACCTGCATGCGTGTAGGCATGCACACACATGTGGAAACAAAAATAAAATGTCAGTGGTGCCAAGATGAGATGCCCTCGTCTACACCAGGAAAACTCCAGTCTGTAGCATGAATCTTAAAAGTTCTTATTAGTAAAATCAAACCCGAGGCCAGTTATTGGGGTCAATGCTGGTAGATCAGAGAGACAGAATAAGCCACAGCTACCTCACCTCGCCGGATTCTCAGCTGGTCTTGTTTCCTCAGACTGGAGGCCTCTGAGTCCTCATCCAGAATGGGTCTCAGCTGAACTGCTGCTAGAAGCCTAAAAGCTTAACCAGCCAAATGGTTAACCGGGCCAAATGCTTCTAGTTCCTGGTCCTCATGCCTTATATATCTTTCTGCCTTCTACCATCACTCCCTGAGATTAAAGATTCACTCCCTGGGATTAAAGGCATGTGTCACCATGCCTGGCTCTTTCCAATGTGGCCTTGAACTCACAGAGATCCCAGATGGATTTCTCCCTCTGGAATGCTAGGATTAAAGGCTTGAGTGCCACCATTTTCTAGCCTCTGTATTTAGTGACTGTCTGTTCTCTGACCCCAGATAAATTTATTAGGGTAAACAATATTTTGGGGAACAAAATACCACCACACCAGTCCACCTACCGACACATGAGCACAGCTAAAAGATTGCTATTTGAAGCCTCAGTTTTGTGGGCGGTTTTAAATGCAGCATTATTGTGGTAATAAATGGCATCAGTAATGGCAACCATGAAAACCATGCTTTATGAGGCCAGCTCAATAAAATGTTCCTCCCAGCTTAACTTTGCAATCTCCTTGCTGGCTCTGGTCCCTGGTCATTCTCTCTGGAAAAGGGAAGGTCTGCAGATTCTCTGCAGTGTAGCATGAGTTTTAAAAGTTCTTATTAATAAAATCAAACCTGAGGCCAGTTATTGGGGTGAACACTGGAAGATCAGAGAGACAGAACAAGCCACAGCTAACCTCACCTGGCCAACTTCTCAGCTGGTCTTATTTCCTCAGACTGGAAGCTTCTGTGTCCTCATCCCAACGGCTCTCAGCTGAACTGCTGCTCGAAATCCTGAATGCTTAACCAGCCAAATGCTTAACCAGCCAAATGCTTAACCAGGCCAAATGCTTAACCAGGCCAAATGCTTCTAGTTTCTGGTCCTCAACGCCTTATAAACCTTTCAGCTTTCTACCACCACTCCCTGGGATTAAAGGCTGCTTTCTGGGATTAAAGGCGTGAGTCACCATGCCTGGCTGTTTCCAATGCGGCCTTGAACTCACAGAGATCCAGAGGGATTTCTGTCTCTGGAATGCTAGGATTAAAGGTGTGTGCTACCACTGCCTAACCTCTATGTTTAATATTGTGACTTTTCTGTTCTCTGACCCCAGATAAGTTTATTAGGATACACAATATTTTGGGGAACACAATACCACCACACTGCAGTTCATAGTCTCCTGGGAGAGAGGACATCTTAGCCACCAAAGGTCTCTACTTCCTCCCTTGTATGTTACAGCTTCTCTCTTGCCCTATGAAACCCTGTCTTAGTTACTTTTCTCATTGATGTGGTAAGAAACCCTGACAAAAACAACCTAAGGGAGAAAGGGTTTATTCTGGCTCACAGCTCAAGGGTACAGTCCAGTGTAGTTGGGGAGCGAAAGCAGGAGGAGCTTGAATCAGCTGGTCATAACCCATCCAAAACCATTAACAGAGTGATGGATGCACATGGCTGCTCAGATCTCTTTCTCCAGTTACACAGTCCGGGATCCCAGCCAGGGAATGATGCCACCCATTGTGGGTGGGTCTTCTCACCTCAATTAACACAATCAAGATAATCTCCTGCTGGAATTCCCAGAGGCCCATCTCCCAAGTGATTCTAGATTCTGCCAAGGTGACAGTTAACTGTGACCACCATGAGTCTTAATGAGTCTCTTCCTTACAAGGACTGCTCCTCCTCCTCTCTATCACATTCTATTTAAGATTTTCCTCCAGATGGTTATAATGATGGTTTTTCTCCTGCAGAAAACATCACATACTCCCTCCTCCCCGCAGCCCAGACTCTCCAGCACTGAGGACCGCCTGCTGCAGTGGTGACGGTGTTCCCAAAGGAACCTAATCCGTTCTGTATTTTTCCAGACCAGATGACAAATGTTCCTAGTGCTCCTTCATAAAACCCCCACAAGATTTCCATCCTTTTCAGCATCTTAGTTCCCAAACTGAGAAAAGAATCTGGTTTTGACTAATTGACACAGAAAAAAAAAATCACAGATTTTTTTTTTAATTTACTGAACATGCCATTATATTCTGTATCAGGGATGTTTTCATATGTATCTGATGTGGAAGACTTTTAAGAATTGACAGAACTGTTCAAAGTGCAGAGAATTAGTGCCTGTGGAGTGCTCAGCCACTAATGGAATATCTATATCACACCCCTCCCACCAAGGCTCAGGGACTGTCTTTGATAAGGGGATGGAAGATTCTAAGAGCCAGAGGTCAGAAGGACTGGAGTGAAGCAGTTCCTGTCCTCTGGACATGACAGAACTGTTGCACACATCGACTCACAGCAGCTGCAGCTGCCTGCACGAGACCTGCACAAGATCAAGCCACTCAAGGCCCAGCCTGGAGGATGAAGGCGCTCATGAAGCCCCACTTCTGGCTGCGGAGCTGTTGGCAGTTGACAGCTGCTGGGGAATGGAGAATCAGTTTTCTCTTTGATAGTGTAGACCTTGGGAGGTCAACCATGTTCCAGTTAATGGCCTCATACTCAGGACTATGTAAACAACACAAATTAGAACCAGCAGGCTATTGGTGGGGGACATGAAGTTGGGAGGGGGTGGTGATTGGAGGTAGTCCTGGAAGGAGTGAGGGTTGAAGAGAGGGGTCAATATAGTCAAAAGACATTGTATTTATGTGTGAAATTCTAAAAAAATTAATATATATATTATTATATATATGGAGAGAGAGAGAGAGGTGTGTACTTTTTCAGTTTGTAAAATGCAGGAATCAAGTGCAAAAGCTTGATAAGTTCTTATATCTGTCATCCATGTAATCACTTCTCAGGAGATCCCTTAATAGAATATTCTACTGCCTCCAAAGACCCTTGTAGCCCCCTCCACGCCATCAGTCCTGACAAAGGTAATTCCTGTTGTACCTTCTATCACTATTAGCATTCTGTTGCTGTGAGAAAATACCTGAGTTAAATTAAAAACAAGAGAATTATGTTGCCTTGTGATTTCAGAAGTTGTGCAAAACATGTGGTGGAACAAAGGATATTCAACTCCTGACAGCCAGGAATCGGGGAGGGGAGGGAGAAAGAGAGGATGAGAGAGACAGAGCATGAATGAATGAATGAATGAATGAATGAATGAGAATATATCCTTTAAGTGTAAACCCTCAATAACTCACTTGCTCCAATGGGGCCCCACCTTCCCAAAGCTTCCAGTGCCCCTCAATATCCCATGCAGTTATAATCAGTAGATTAACGGTCTCCCGTTGCAATGGGAGCTGAGCCTTCAATACATGCCCCTTCTGGGGATATCCCGATCCAAGCCTAATAATCAACAACGATTAATTTTACCTGCTACTGAATATCATATGGGGTGGGTCCTACCAGTAAATCACTCAGGGTGTCCTCACTTGTTTCCCATTTTTTCCCTCTGAACGTGTTTTTAAATCTATGTTGATAGGACTACACATCGGAGAGTTCTAAATGGCCTCTCCTACAGAGAAGGGGAAACAGATAGTGGGTAGAATTTCCATCATCGGCGGCTCATGAGTCCGAGAATAAATGAAAAGGGGAATTAAGGACTTCTGAGAATAATAGCTACTTAGCACAGGCATCTGTATGTATCTTTACCTCCCATCACCTCCTCAATGAGAATCGACACAGCATAACAGGAGGACCATGCCCATAGGGGTTTTGACATAGTGTGGGCATTCCTAATCCAAAAGTCCTAAAGTCCCAAAGCCTAAGTGTTTCAAATTCCAAAACTGTTTGAAGGCTGATCTCGTGCCACAAATGGAAAATTACATACATGTCCTCACACTGTGACACCCTGGAAATACCCTATAAATTACCTTTCTGTTTTGCAGTAAGGTGTGTGCGAAATTTATTATGTCACATTAAACTTGGGTCTTGTCTATAAAATGTCTCATTATGTGTATGCAAATGTCCCATAACAAAAAATTAAAAATCTGAAATGTGACTGGTTCCCAGTGTTTTGGATAAGGAAAATTGAACTTGTGCCGAGAATGGCATCGCCTGCATGACAGACATCTCAAGCTACCTCGGTGCAGTGGCACACAGCTTCAATCCTAGCTATTCAGGAGGCTGAGGCAGGAGGACTAAGAAAGGTCAAGGACTTTGCGCTAGATCCAGGAAGTATGAAGCTGCCACAGCAATCTCCCCGCCCCCTCCGCCCCAGCCCCTGCAGCCTGAGATGACCACAGGGCAGGCAGAGGAACTAAGGCAGGAGGTAGCCTGTGCTGGGGCTTCCTCCAACACTGGAAGGCTGCCACACATACAATTCTGGAAAGCTCCTCCACCCCCAGTCTCCAGTGCCAGAAGCCAAAATAAATAAACCTCACTGTTTGGTGGGGCTTCCTCCCAGACTGGTTGTCTGATCACCCAAGAAGCCTGGCAGAGCTACTGGTCTAAGCAGGTTAATTCTTCATTAGTCAGTTTTGATGAGTTATTTTTTTCCCCTAGTAAAACACTCAGGTTTTCAATTTTAAAGTGTGGGCATGTGGTCTGACCATTGTGTTTTGAATCAGCCGAGGGACGGCAGTCATCTGACTTCAATCCTGTGGAGTGTGGCTATTGGAATTTCTGGGTTCTTGAACCCTAGAGAATGCCCTCCTGTTGCTGAAGCGGGGTGGAAGAGCACCAGGGCTGTGTGTGCAGAGCCCTGGGGTGCAGGCTTCAGAACCCTCAAATCATGATGTTGTCTTTGATGTCTTCTGCCACAGATGTGGGATGTAAGGCTGGGCTGCCTCCTCTCCTTTATAAGCTTCCCCCCTGGGTATTTATAGAGATCTTTTCCTTGAAGTTAGAACTTCACCAGGATGCATGTCTCTTTTCATGAATTTTTTTTTTCTGATTTGATTTGTATTCTGAAACACAGGCCAGGGTTTTTGTTTAACTTGGGAACATTTTCCCTCACATTGAATATTATTATTTCTGTTTCATGTATTTCATCTCATCCTTGCACAAAACATACATTTCTGCCCTCTCTCCCTCCTTCCACCCTGTGTGCTCTCCCCCATTTCTTCCTTTCTCCTGAGGATCAAACCAGGGTCTTGCAAGTTCTCCAGCACCGATTTATTTCCCAAGTCCTAAGGTTTTCTTCTTTTTTATGATTTTTTTAATAATTCGTTGAGAATTTTATACAATATATTTTGATCATATTCACCCCTCCCCCAAGCCCTCCCTAACCTGCTTCTCTTCCCCACTCACCCAACTTTGTGTATGCTCCAAAACAAAACCAACAAATGGACAGACAAAACACCTATGGAGTCCGATTTTTGCTGCCCACACACTCAGGTATGGGGCTGGCCACTGGAGCGTGAGCAACTCACCAGGGATCACGCCCTTCAGAGAACTGGCTCTCCCTCTCCCAGCTGTCAATTTCCGTTAGCTCCTCAGGTAGGAGCGGGACTTCATGGCCACCTCCCTCCTCCATGTTGGAATTTTCTCTGGCTTGAGCTAGTGCAGCTCTTGGGCATGGCGTCACAACTGCTGTGCATTTATATGTGCGACTGCCTGTTGTGTCTGGAAAGGAGTTTTGTTGTAATCATCCACCACCTCTGGCTCACACAGTCTTTCCACCTGCTCTTCCGAAATGAGCCTTGAGCCTCGGGAAGAGGGGTGTGTACAGACGCCCAAGTGAAGTCTGAGAACTCTGTAATCTCATGTTCTCTGTACTTCGGCCAATTGTGGATCTCTGTGTTAGTTCCCTTCTACTGCAAAAAGAAGTTTCTCCAATGAGGACTGAGAGATGTGTTGACCTATGGGTATAATAATAAGTTATTAACAGTTGTTTTAGCAGAAGAATAAGAGTAGGTTCTCCTTTAAGAACGAGGACCTATCTAGCCACAGGTTCTTGGCCCTGCTAATGGTGTGGGATATGAGTTCCTTCTTATAGAGTGGGTCTTAAATTCAATCAGAAAGTGGTTGGTTATTGCCATAACAGCATGCCACTCTCATGCGACTGGGCATGTCTTGCCAGACCAGCTGTTACTGTAGCTCATTGGGTTCACAGTCAGGTAAGATTTATGATTATTTTTATCCCTTTGATAGTATGCATCATGTTTTCAAGCACCACAAAAACTAGCCAGTAGGGATGAAGCTTCCAGGTGAGTACCAACTTGATCTCTCCAAGTTCTGACTCAAGTGTGGGTATCTCTAGCAATCTGGTCTTGTATCAAGCTCCGGAGTGTAACCAAGAGGAATGGCAATAGCCAGCATCTCCAACAGAGGTAACCTGTTTTTGGCACTGAGATTTTGATCTGTTAGCCTGTGGTATCTGGGGGAGGCTTTGTCCTACTGTTGTAGGTGACTGCATTTAAACTCCCTTTGTATATGTACATGATGAGTGTGCATGTGTGGACTTTAGACATCTTCTGCAATAGAGGGTTTCTGCATGGCTTTGGTCTTACAGCCCTTCTGCTTCAACTTCCACAGTGCTGGAATTCCAAGCAGATTACAACCCTGTGCCACCAATCCCAACTACAAATATACACTTCCTCTGCTGTGTCACACCACACCGCCTGTCTGCAACATGTCCTCTCAGCCCGCTCCTCTGGGTCCTGTGGCACTGGCTTCAGCTGGCCGACATCATCCGAGCCGTTTTTCTCCTTGGCTAATTTAGCTGTTACTGTATCAAATGCATTTTAAAGAGTTCAATTTCTCTCTGCGTTAAAAGCATAATTATTTTTTCTTTGCCTTCTCCTCACATCCATATTTTAGTTTCATTGAGTCTGCATTTCTTAAAGCGTTTTTTTTGATAGTACAAAGAAATGCTGTTGGAATTTGCTTCTGCTTCCTGCAGTAGATTGTTCTGAAAACATTTTTCCTCTTCTCTTTTACAACAGGCATTTTTCACAGACTTTTCTCCCCTGCCTTTTATTGTTTTTAATTGATGAAACTTCTGTTTGGGTCTGGTAATTTTTTCTTTTTAAAAACAGTTATTCTATGTGTATGTGTGCATGTGCCTGACTGTATGTATGTAAACCATTTGCATGTGGTGCCTGCAGAGAGTTAAGGAGGGGTATCAGGTCTGCTGGAACTGGAGTTACAAACAGTTATGGGTCTCCATGTGGCCTCTGGGAACTGAACCTGAGTCCTCTGCAAGAGCAGCAAGTGATCTTGACCACTGAGCTATCTCTCCAGCCCATTTTTTTTTCCTTTAGTAGATTTTTTTCTACTAGTTTCCACACATGGACTTTGAGGTGAGAGACTTTAGTGGTTTGAATGAAAATATCTTTCATAGGCTCATGTGTTTGAACACTTGGTCCCAGTTGGTGGTGCTGTTTGAGGAGGTTCTGAAACCTTTAGGAGGTGGAGACTTGTTGGAGGAAGCATGTGGCTGGAGACAGGCTGGGTTCACAGCCTTACTCTCTTCCATTCTCTCGCACTCTCTGCTTCCTGTGCACAGATGAAATGGGATCGTTCTGCTTCCTGCTCCTGCTGCCATGCTATGCATTCCCTGCCCTGATAGACTCTCTCCCTCTGGAACCATAGGCCAAAGTAAACCCCTTCTTTAAGTTGCTTCTGGTCATGGCATTTTATGACCGCAGCAGAAAAGTAATTTATACAGGGATTGTGACTCAGAAAGAAGGTGAAGTCTTGCCAACCCTGACCCTGGGCTGACACTTAACATTGGCAAGGCTACCATAACAGTTTCAAACATCCCAAGGGTCCCACCTAGCAGTGTGGCAGATTTGTTGCCTGCTCATGCCATACCTGCTGTTAGGAGAAGACATTTCACCTTCCTACTGACTACTGCCAAGGCTGTTTTCTAAGCACATTGCAGAAGTATAGGAGCGTTTCTAGCCTTTGAGTTTTCAGGAACAGTCTGTCTCTGTCCCTCTCTCCTCTCCCCACTCTCCTCTCCTCCTCCCCTAACACATACACAGCAGAAAGAACATTCTTTCCTCTCAGCATCTCCAAAGTCTACTTACAGCTCCTTGCATCATCCCTTCATCTTTGAGCCACTCCT